TTGCCCCACTGGGAGTCCAGCCCCCTTAGCCACCACACCACCTGCCAGCCCCCTGTTATTATGACTTTTTAACTTGGTATAGAACATATGCGTCCACCAGAGAGAGACAGAGAAGGAAAGTGAGAAAACAAGCTGCCAGGTTCAGGATTTGAACTGCAGCTGGCCATGTGGGAATCCAGCGCCTCAACCACCACGCCATCTGCTGGCCCCTCTGTCAGCTTCTACAGGTCACTATTTTTATTGTTTCTAGGATATCCTTCCATTCCCCCAATAATTTATATATATAAATATATATACACACACACACGCGCGCATTATATATAATTTCTTTTTCTTTTCTTTTTTTTTTTTTTTTTGAGAAGTTTTCACTATAGGGTGCGTGCACTCGCCAGACAGAGAGAGACAGAGAGACAGAAAGCGAGAAATCACCCCCCAGCGGGATGGCCACGCCGCAATCCCTTCTCCTCCATTCTCCTCTCGGGATCTTGGGCACGCACGCACACGCGCCCGGCGTGAGTTTAAGCCACCGGGTCCGGGACTCGAACTGCAGTCGACTATGTGAGAGTCCAGCGACATAGCCATTACGCTAACTGCTGGTCCCTGTTACATATAATTTCTTACACCTTATTTCATTCAATATAACATCACACTCATTTTTTCTTTTTGTTTAAGAATTATTTTATTTAACTTATTTATTTTATTTATTTATTTTCATGTGACCAGAAGGGACAGAGCGAGAGAGAGAGGGAAGGAGGGAAAGTGAGAAAGCAAGCCACCAGGATCGGGACTCGAACACCACCACACCACCTGCTGGCCTCCCCCCTTTTTGTTTGTTCGAGCTTCTTGTCACAGGGCACATGTGGTTGCTGGAGAGAGAGAGAGAGAGAGAGATAGAGACAGAGAGACAGAAAGTGAGAAATCACCCCCCAAAGGGGATGGCCATGCCGTAATCCCTTCTCCTCCATTCTCCTCTTGGGATTTTTGGACATTCATGCACACGCGACCAGCGTGAGTTTGAAGCTGCTGGGTCCAGGACTTGAACCGAATTCAACCATGTGGGAATCCAGCACTTTAACCACCATGCCACCTGTTGGCGCTCATGTACCTGATCCTTGTTCACAGCGACCCCCTTTGCTCTGGGTCTCTGCACTTGCATGAGATGCGATTATGGACAGGAATGGGTAACCGTGCCCCAGAGAACACCCTGGGTATAGACGAAAATGAAATACCCAAACCACACCGAGAGCTGCAGTGTGAGTGGGACTCCCTGCAGGGCCCCCTGTAAAAAAAAAGGTGCTACTGACTTTAAAGGTGGTGTTTTGGGGACTAGCAGTTGACGTAATGGCTATGTCACTGGACTCCCAAGTAGTCGACCGCGGTTCGAGTCCTGGACCCGGTGGCTTAAACTCACGCCGGGTGCGTGTGTGTGCGTGCCCAAGATCCCGAGAGGAGAATGGAGAAGGGATTGTGGCATGACCATCCCCCCTGGCGGGGTGATTTCTCGCTTTCTGTCTCTCTGTCTCTCTCTGTCTTTCTGGCGAGCACACGCGCCCTATTTTTTAAAAAAGGTGGGTTTTTACTAAACCTTACCACATACAAATATGTTCCAAAAGGCTTCTTTTCCCCTCCGCCCTTTCGTCACTGAAAAGGGATGACCGATGTCGGCCTGCCCCAATTCATATTTTCAGGAGCAGACATGAATAAAGAGAAGGCTCGCTTTCTTCCCAGAGAACACATTCAGAACCCCTCGCCTTTCCAGATTTAAAGTTTCACCTCGGTGTTTATTAAGCCTCTTTAAGCGACAGGCGGATGAAATAAGCCCTCCTCCTGCACACAGAGGGGACACCTGTCCCAGGGCTCCAGGCCCAGCGTTGCAAACGCTGTAGTCAAAGCTGGGGTGAAACGTGGCACGAGGTATTTATGACCTGCAAGTATTTATTCATAAGTTATTTATGACCCCGTGGGTCTGAATTTTACCGTAAAGCCGGCCATCCAAATTATTTTTGGACCAGGTCGTGCACAAACACGAGTGCTTGAATGTTCGTGCGTCTGCTTGGCATTGCACTTCCAGCGGCAAACAAGTTGTCTTTCTTAGGTAATTCCTTACCCAAGGGTCAAGAGCCCCAGGAGAATAACCCTACTGAGGAAAAGGGTTCGTTTTTACTCCGCTGTGGGCCTCAACTCTCTGGATGAAATGTTTAAAAAGGTCAAAAAAGAAAATCAAAAGATCTTTGTTGTCTGCCAAAGCCACAATCCTCCGCAGAGAGAGTTCCAAGAGGTGAGGCCTCCTCACCTGGCCTCCCCGGGCAAGCTCCTGCAGCCATTGACAAAGTCGTGTCGCTGTGGCTGTTCTCTGCAGGGAGGGAGTGATGGGCCCACCTCCTCCTGCACCTGTCCACGGTCCTCGAAAGCATTTTGCATTTCTTTCTTTCTTTTTCTTTCTTTCTTTTGGGTAAGGTTTTTGCCATAGGGTGCTCAAGTTGACCAGAGAGAGAGAGACAGAGATGCAGAGAGGGGGGAAAGTGAGAACTCACCATGATGCAATCTCGTGTCCTCCATTCTCCTCTTGGGATTTCGGGCATGCATGCGCACATGCCGGGTGTGACTTTCAAGCCGCCATGTCTGGGACTCGAACTGTGGTCCCCCACGTGGGAATCCAGTGCCTTAACCACCACGCCACCTGCTGGCCCCAGGATTCTGCATTTCTAAAGTGCAGTCAAGTTTCAAATAAACTAGGCCGGCTGGTGCCATGGTAGTTAAGGCAGCTGAATCCCATGTGGCTGACGGCATGGTTCAAATCCCAGGCTGGGCAATTTGAAAAACACATGAGGTGTATGTGGATGCCCCAAATCTCGATGCGATGGAGGGATTTAGGGGTGGAGGGTGCTTTCTTGCATTCCTCTTCTCCCTGTCTCTCTCCGATGAGTGCATGTGCCCTGGAGTGAATTAAAAATATATTTTGCAAATAAACCCAGACACTGGAGGCTCCACCCACCAGCAAGTGAGCTGCAGGACTGAGACCTACTCAAGCCCTCTAGTCACACCCGGCATGTTATCTGACATCCGCGAGAAGACAGTGTTTCTCTCTTTCTTTCTCCTTCTTTTCAAGTAATATCCTACACCTAGGTTCAGTTTCTATAGTCCTGGGACCAGCAGTTAGCATAATGGCTATGTCGCTGGACTCCCATGTAGTCGACCGTGGTTCGAGTCCCGGACCCGAGGCTTAAACTTACGCCGGGCGCGTGCCCAAGATCCCGAGAGGAGAATGGAGGAGAAGGGATTATGGCATGACCAACCTTTCTGTCTCTCTGTCTCTCTCTTTCTGGCGAGCGCACGTGCCCTATAAAAAAAAAAATCTCTTAAAAAAATTTCTATAGTCCAAAGGCCCTTCGTTTACAACAAGATCAGTGGGACCTGCAGTTGGCGTAATGGTTATGTCGCTGGACTCCAATGACGTCGAACATGGTTTGAGTCCCGGACCCGGTGGTTTAAACTCATGCCGGGCGCGTGTGCGTGCGTGCCCAAGATCCCGAGAGGAGAACGGAGGAGAAGGGATGGTGGCGTGGTCATCCTCCTGGGGGGTGATTTCTCAGTTTTCCTCTCATTCTGTTTCTCTCTCTCTCTCTCTGTGGGTGAGCCCACATGCCCTACGGCAAAAACAAAACTAAAGAAACAAACGACAAAAAAAAGAGGCTCGGTTATGAAATTCATAGCTGCATTCTGCCATTCTCGCCGTGGAGATTATTTTATTTGTTTCTGGATCGTCTGCCCTTCTCTTCCGTAAACAGTTTAGATCTGTCGCCCATTTGACTTTTGCCT